AATGAAAATACATTTCTTTGTGGAGTAGCTTATTTTAGACTAAAGAATAGGGTAAGATATTCAAATATGAATATGTTTCTCATGACATTTTCCTTTGATGCTGATGATCTCTTCTCTCTCTCTCTCTCTCTCTCTCTCTCTCTCTTTCTCTCTCTCTATTGGTCAGTGCTGGTCAGTGGAGGCAAAAATCCAGACTTTCATTAATTGGGATTTTGATATTGATGTTTATTAGTCAGTGTGAGAAAGTTGTTTGAGTATGCCCCAAAATAGTATTTGAGTCCTAAGAGTCTGCGAGACCCAGTACAAATTACTGTATAAATAGCTAGAGGTCCTTTTTTTCTTTGAATTGTGAAATGTACTCATACGTTCATAAATACAAAATATATTGAAAAAAAATAACTGTTATATACACTGAAGCAATTAAAATTCTCCATTTCTTTTGGAGAGTAGGTAAAGATAGAAATTTCTTGTATTTGATTATAACAGATTCTGTGGATTTTAGTTTGTTTTTTTATGTCTCATTGTCCCTGGACACAAGAAACTAGCTTAATGTTAATTTCTTCATAAGAGTGATTACATATATATATATATACACACACACACATACACACACTCAAAAAAGAAGTGAACATTTTGCCCATATTGTTCAAGAATTTCACTGGAAGACTTGATGTTAATTCTATTTAATATGAAAATTATCTTTGAGATGTAAAATAAATCAGCCGAATATCATTTTGTGATTAAACTTCTATGTCAGTTCTTAAAGCAGATAGTTCTCTCTCTTTAAGTGTTCTCTGAGGAAACCTATGGGTCCCTGAGACCCTTCAGATGGTGTTTAAAGAGGAAACATTTTATAATAATGCTAAGATGCTATTTGCATTTCAGGCTCATTCTTTAACAAGCGTACAGTGGAATTAGCTAGAAGAACATGATATGTGAGGATATCATTGCTTTGATGGCATGGGACATGAGTGGTTATGTATTCTTATGTTTTGAGATTTTCCCAATATAACTATTAGTACAGAAATGTTGACATTAATAGTCAACAAAACCAAGTGTTGGTTTAAGTCATCAATTTTAAGATTGTTCTGGTGGGATTAGAACCTCTAAGAACTGCTGATGTTCACTTTTTCAAGATCTGCCACCTTTTACTCAGAAATGTTTCCCCATTTGACCACAAAAGGAGCCATGTGGGATGAAGCAACAAGTAGATTTTTCAAAGTTTTAAAAAAACATGCGCAGGTTCGGTACTTTATATATCCAT